ATAGTGAATTATATAATTATCATAATTATATAATACTGATACCAATTTATCCTTTTCTGAGTGTGAGTTAGATTGGGAGAAAAGTTCTAGATGAAGATGATTAATTTTAGCCTCTTCTTATAATATGAATTGTTTATATTGCCAAATATGAAATTCCCTTCTATCAATAGATTTGAGAATTTCATTTCTTCTTACATGTTCATTTTAATAGTATTTTCAGAAATACATCTCTTCAAGTAGCTATCTCGATAGTGATTATCTAAATGACTGTTTTCAGATATGAAAACTAAGGAATCACATACATTACAATATATGTAATTTGATGAAAGACCATAGACTTTATCATGTTCATATAAATTTCCATATATTGTAATATATCCATTCTTAGAAAGAATTCTTGGGTTCTCTTCAAATATTTTTCTAAATAAAACTATATATATGAGAGCATCACATTTCTAGTATTTTATGACCATGTCTTTTTGTTAAAGGGCTTATCACATTAATTATTCTTATATATTCTTCAGAACCTCTATGAGTATTGTATGTATTAATTAGCTTAGAATAAGCTCTACTATATAAATCTATATTTAAAATTATATATATCAAATAATCAGTTTATAATGATTTTAGCGATTAAGAAATTTATAACAATTTCAGTAATTTATAGCAGTTTATAATAAGTATACTATAATAAATATCAGATTCATTTTTATTCGATTACAAACATATTGAAAATTAATATTTATATATAAGGGTTTCAGAGGAATCTAATTTTATATTTATATGAATATACACAGTATCTGGCTAAATCAGTTTGTAGCATGATGTATATCATATCACATGTATCTACCCTAGATTTCTGCCAGTTTCTCGATAGTTCTAGAAGAATTCCAGGAGCTGACAAGCTTCTATAAATCACGAGATGATCAGCTAATCAGATTTTACCATCTTTGATCTTATTGACATGATAACTAAGTCACTGTTATTATTTAATCAAATCATTATATTGATCAATTAATTTGCCTCGCAATGATCCTAACATATCACTTAATATTTTTTATATAATAGTCCTAAAGAATCTTCTCACTATGTAGTCAACTATGGAATTCTCTGACACTTAGCTTCACATTCTCATTGACGAACTAAAAAATAGAAATGTAGAGTATCACACTATTACAAATAAAAAGAAGTATCTCTTTTGGAATGAGATTGCGAAAAAAATAAATGATCAAGAAAATACTAATTATTTTACTGGTGATGTCCTTCATAAAAAATTCTTAAGTCTTACAACAGCTTTTACATAAGTAGTGTCCTGCTTGTCTTCTATAAAGATCTGACTGGTCAATAATACTTATTATTATTTTAGACAGCGGAAAAATATAAAGAAGGTACTGGAATAAAAAGAAGATTAGTTAGTGAAGAAGTTTATGAAGAGTTTTCAATGATATTTTAGTTAAAACTAGGTATATTTTTGTAGAAAATAAGCTGGTGATTATTTTTAAATTAACACAATTCTATCTATCACCATTCGCTAGAACTTCCATTCAAGCAAATACATAATAAAAATGTTAAATCAAGTAGTGTAAGTTCTTCTGAGACATCATCTTCTTTAATCTCATCTGAATGGTTAAACGGAAATCAAGTTCTAAGTAACTATTAGAAAAAGCTATCAAAGAACCCTCTAAATCATCATCACTCATAACATCAAATTCATTAATCATCGAAACACCTAATACCTCTGCTGAAGATGCTTTTAACAGTTCTGTGACTGTAACAATTCCTTTTTTTTCACAAAATGTGAACGTGATCAATGTCACTTTTAATTATAGTGATGCATCAGAAAAGGATTAGAGTTTAAAAAATTCACTTTGATATTAATATAGCCAAAGTCGATATTGAAGGATTATATGACTGCTTGAGCAGAAATTTAAATATCACTTTTTTGAAAAAGAAATAATTTTATTTTGTTACTTGTATATTGCTATGTTTAAGAAACAGTTTTTAAAATAAAATGAGATCTTATTTGTTACTAGTTAAAATTTATATACATAAAACAAACACATATATTTAAAAATTCAAAGTAAAATCTTTTATTTATCATTATGTAATATAGCCAATCCGTTAAACAATAAAAGTGAATAAAAAAGTAAAATAATAGATCGAAAGACCAGAGGAATGTAATGATTGAAATAAATGATGCTATCAAAGAGGAAGGGAGTTTTCAGATCTTAAGCTATAAATGAGAGTTTTTGCATCAAGTTATTTCACAATATTACCTCTATCGATACTTCCTCTAATACTACCACTACTGTTACTATTGTTACTACTGCTATTATCAGAAAAACTAACTGATTTCTTATTTTCCTCCTTTTCAACTTCTTGGTGATTTTTGATGATGATAAAAACTAGTTAATATACTAACACTAAGTCCAATTTTGATTGATAAAATATTGTATAATTGTGTTAATAAATAAGCTTCTTTTTTCCTCCTATTATTAAAAAGAGCTGTAAATTTGAGCCAGTACATTTCATATTCATCTATATATTTAGAATATTATCCCATAGAAACATAACTTGTAGAAGAGAATCAGTTTGATCTAGTTAGAAAAAATAAGACGCAGTTTAACGTAGATAAGTATATATGCATGACGTGATATTTTTTTCTTCCTCAGTAACGCATAATTTACTTTGAGATATCGCATCATTTCTTTATTCAGCTTTTATACGTATTCTTTGAAGTTCATTGCTTAATATTAAAACTGTTCTTTTGAGATTATTATCTTCTGATCGCATTAGATGTTTGTGAAAAAAAGATAACAATGGCAAAGATTATATAAATATTTACGTTTCCTGAAAAAATGTCTTAAATCATATCTATTGTAAGTACACCATGATTTACCATCTTGTAAATTATAATTGTGACATCAAAGATTGCGATCAAAAAAATATCTGTATTTGAAAACATTTTTTAGATAGATTTTTGTTTTATTAGTTTTATATGAAATTGATATTTGTTTACTTTGTTAGAGAAAAAGAATTACCAAAGCGTTTCTCTAGAAATAATCCTTTTATATGATTTACAATTACCTGAAAAATAAATGTCCATATACACTAGCTATAGATAAGAGACGAAATCCCTTAATAACAGTTAAAACTTAGATGAAACTATATTAAAATCATAATAAGGGATATGACGAAACTTATTCAATATGACGAAAGCTAAAACTGTCGAAACTATATTAAAAACATAGAAAAGGATAAGACAAAATTATTTTGAGAAAGTTTCAGTAGGCATCTATAATACTAATATAGAAAATTTATGTTGAAATATGGATCTAGAATATTTAACTAAAAATACTGTGTATGAAAATGATATCATATATATACCCCTTATTTCTGAAAAAAGAAAATTATTAAAATTTTACCTGGCTCTTGTATCTAAAGACGAAAAAAGTTAATGCATTCCCATATCTCTATATCTCCACAACATGTTTCAAATAATGAAAATAATAATATTTTTTCATAAATGCTTGGCCAAAAGGGCCTTATGCAAGAGAAAAGTTTTTTAATTAATAAAAAATATTGAAATATTCGTTAGGTAGCTTTGCTATTACATGAGTACAGTATATAAATAAGCTATATTATAAAGTACTATTCTCTTATTACATTTTTATCTAAAGAAAGAGCAAAGAAAGAACTAGATATCTATCTAGATTTTTTTTCTCGCTTCAGATATATAAGAAAGTAGGACTTCTTTTATTCGCAACGCAGTTCGCTATAAAACACCTTCACCATCATAAGTAAATGCAGATCAAAATAGTATTTATGAAAAATATTAGACATCCGCATGAATATTTTTGTGAAAAAATTAGCTATTTTAGGAATAAAATTATCGAAGACAATGGCGTAAATTTCCTGATAACCCATGATCATCGATAAGCGGACTACTGTAATCCATATTCTTGATTATGTGAATGATTTATAATAATACTCTAGCCCTTTTTCGAATATAATATACTGTTTTCATTCTAACAATACGATCAGTAAAATGCCTTACTGCGCGTTGAAATGAGAATTTAACCTGATTAAATTAGATGAAATAAAAATTACATACCCATTTATCATGTACTATATTCCTGCAAAAAAAATTCGAAATAAAGAGTTTCCAAAACTAATAGTGTGTGATTAGCCATACATGTAATTGATTGCGCTAATAAAACTAGAATAATAACAATTTAGCGTTTATCCAGAGATTTGCAAATAATAGATTCTAATCAGCTCTATTTCCATTTTTGAATTTCTTTTTAATGACGCCCTGTCTTACGATCCGCAAAATGTAAGAGTGAGATAGAACATACCAGAACTTTGGTGAAATTGTATGACGAAAATAATGTAAAAATTTTTCTCTTGGTTGGGTTTCCTCTAAAAATAATGATTGTGACATATTGCATATTCTGCAGATATAATTCACATGAACTAATGACGTACTTACTATGCATTTCAGGTAATCAATCTCAGGTAAAATAATCGACACTAATATACCTGGTCCCTTCATATCCATTCATCATCCAATTCTGAATTATGTTCATTCTCAGAATCTTCAAACTTACTTCAAATCTCCTTAATCAAGAGGTCATTCTCATCTCTGACTGAGAAATTTTCAATATCCTATTGCAATAATTCGATTCCCAGAGGAATCCCCTGAATTGTAATATTGCCCTGTATTAGAATGGATTAGCTCAGTAATCAAAAAAACAACTTATCATCACTGGGAGAAGTTTGCTAAAACAAACAGATCAGATGCGATGTTAAAAAGTTGTGATACATTGAAATATATAGGCTTTAATGTCCAAAACATTTCCTAAAATCATGTTTTGCAGGAATGCAGTTATTGCAAATTGATTTTTTTATTATTACCATCTTAAACACACTTGTTAGGCTGTTGTACATATGTAAAAATCGAAAAGAAGTTTAAGAAAGCCATAAACTAAAGCAAGCAATTAATAGAAATCTTGCCATTTCGTAATATACTCATATACAATCCCATTCACTACAAACCATCTCAACTGATCTTTCCCTTTAACTAAGCGTTTCGTTGCTTCTTCAGGAGAATTACCAAATGGCCATAACATTTGACTTTCATCATCCCACAAAAAAACACGATCATAACAATCTAAAAAGATCATTTTACATTCAGTCTCCCCAATAATAATTATATGATCAAAGCCAAATTCAGCAACACGTCTTATATAATAAATTAGTTCTTTCAGATCACTATCAAAAATTTCATAATCAATTAAGGTTGCAATACGAGATTTGTCTTCAAATGTATCAATTAAGATAAGCAGATCTTCACAATGCGACGTTCTTCCATTTTTTTCTTCACATAATTGCATTTGAGACATGGTTGCTTGACTTTCAATACTTGATGACTCATCTTTGGTATAGCGAGAGTGCGCGTGTATAAGATGATACATTTTTCGAGAGACGATCATTTTCTAAACATCGCCTCCCAGGGAACCAACTCTGAGCAATTTCCCAAAGGATGTCTGCATTTGTCCAATTGTTCTACTGTTAGGACATCCGTCACATTTTTTACCCAACGTAACGTCTTCATGTTCTTCATCCTTATCTTTACTGCCTTCATGTTCACTGGTACTTGACAACGATTCGACGAACCCAATATCTTTCCCTTTCCGTTTCGATACTTGATCTGAGTAGGTGAGGTTCACTGTTGCCGGAAGCAAATTTGTATCTGGCTGTATTTTCATAATACTCTCTATTAAGCGTTTCTGACTCTTGAATAGATATTTGATTTGCTCCTCTACTGTCATCTTCTTCGAAGGCTGATGGGTATAGCTCTAAAGGAAACACCAAGCATCATAAAACGTAATGATTGGTATCAGTTGAAACTTATCTAGGAATACTGTTTTTCCTGTATGATCGCGAGGTGTCAATTCCCCTTCGTTTTATATAAAATATGATTTTTGAATTCGTTTAAGCTTTTCTTTTTTACTCTTTTTCTCCTTACCTGAAAGGCACCACGAATTTTGCAATCAGCTCCTTCTGCCATAGTTTTTTAAATTGTTTAACCAGTTGTACAGGCTTTATAAAGAAATAGAAATAAATATACAAACCAAAGAATGCTCAAACTAGTGAACAGACTAAACATACTTTATTTGGTCTTCTGCTTTTACGGTTGCCATATATATGTGCTACAGAATAATGAAAAAAGTATTATAATTCATCACAGATAATAGGTACATAGGCGCAGTGAATTTTGTGTGAAGAATTCACGCAATAATATACAAACGTAGAGTTACATGTATTATTATAGGATATCAAAACTTTTGGATGCTTTATTAACAAATTCCTTAATTTTTCGTGTCCTTTCTGGAATAACGATTTCTGGGTTTTGATCATACCATACTTCGAGAAGGAAGATTCCATTATCATGACAAATGCATCTTTTTTGCCAATCACGATTAACGATGTCCTCAAATTTTTTGACATCTTTATACCAATTGGTGCTATAAAACCGATGTTAAGCCCCTTGCACTTCTAATGCAATTTGATGTTTTTGAAAGAAGGCATCAAGCTCTAATCCATTCAAGAAAGAAGGGTGATACTCAATTATCAGCTCTTCATGAAGAATTTCCTTGGCTATTTGGATGCATCTAGTCTGAAATTTGCGATTTTTCTTAGATTCTGATTCTTTTTCAAGCTCATCAAGATACCGCTCTAACTTCTCAATTCTAGCATCACGTCTGTTACTCTCTTCTATCATCTGCCTTATAAGCTTCACATTTCTGACATCAAACTCAGTAATACATTGCCTCAGTAAATCTATTTCGGATTACATGCCTGCTAATATAAAATTATTTATGCTCTGTATGTTAGTATTCAAATTAAAAAAATCACGTGCTTTTTCTCAGCAAGAAAAATTTTTTATTATTACATGTGAAAATAAATATAAAGGTTCAGGACTCCGTCTGCGATACATATTATTTTTTGATAATTTTTTGATTCTAGCCCTCTTGCTAGCTGGAAAACTATCTATACTAACATGATCTTTTAACAACTCTACAATAATACTAATCATCCTTTTCACATTACTACAAAGTAATTCAGAATTTTCTTTGACAGCTGACTTCGTGAGATTAATCTGATATTTCACTGCCACTTATATAGTAAATACCATCCAGAGTATATATTATAAAATACCACTCCATACCCGTGATCACAATACCATAGATATAATCAAAATAATCATTCTCAAATACTTGATCTGCAGTCTGTTTCTTTTTATTCGTCTGAAATGCTTTATATTTTGCTGTTGAAAAGGAAAAAGTTAAGGAAATACAAGGCGTAATTAGTATTGTCATCTAATGCCAAGCTTCATGAAAGCATATGCAAATGGAATCTTCATACCTTTTACATGAAAGGATCCTAAAGGGATCAGATCTATTGGAAAGACATATAATTAGTTTCACTCCTAACAATCTCAAAATTCCAAAGTCCTCAGCATTTCATAATATATGCTTTGTTAGTACTATTTGCTTATATGGTAGGCCTTGTATTGCAACTAGTCGCTTTTTTACATTTTTTCACATTTGTTTGAAAAAAAAATAATGAATAAAAGTTAATATGTTTTCTTTTTCAAATATATGTAAAAATTAATATCGCATAAGACCTGACTGATGTTTCACTTATTTTTATCGTATAATCTGTGACTTAGCAAAATATCTTCTAAGCTGATGATCACTGCTCCAGTTAATGATCAGTATTTTGGACACAAATTTAAATATATGCTAGCTAGAGATAAACACAATCATGACAAGTAATACTAATAATAAATTTGTTTAAAGCGAAATACTTGAAAATCAACTATATGAAGTGCTTTTATACAAGAAGATAAATAGATGTATTAGCTATTTAGAAATGCTTAGCTAAAAGAAATTTTGGTATTAATGACAATGCAAATCAAACAGTATTGAATTAAAGCAAGAAAGCGAAAACACTTGATTATATAAGTAGACTATTATTTAATTTGGTGGAGATAATTATATCAATAAAGGAGCATTTTGAGATTGGTAAACACTCAACCCTTAATATATTACATCAATATAGAGAAGATCTTATCGATAGATCATTGAGGGAATTTTCACTTAGAGAAAAATACCATTTGCTTTTATATCTGAAAGAGAATATAAGCATTATTCAACATTATCTTGGTATTGTCAATTATACTGATAAAGAAATGATAAAAGAAGAAGTTGAGAAAGATGTAAGAGCATATATTCAAAAGTTTAGATGTTTCAAGTGTGGTAATATAGAAATTCATCAATAGGAGGTAAAATACTAATCTATATTTTTTGTCGTATAGGTTATAATCTAACAAAAAATCTTCTGAGTTAATCACTGATCCAGATTAGTTAGATCAGTAGAGTATCAGTATTCTGCTTAATTGGCTAGTATTCTTTTATCTTCAAATGAAAAAAATGTAAAATACAATATTCTGAGTTGATGCTTACTGACCCAGATTAACTAGTATATAAGCATTAGACTTTACCTTTGAGCAATACTTCATAAGTATTTAATCTTTTCACTAAAGAATCTAATGTAAGTCCTAGTTCACATAATGTAACATATTTCTGATAATCAGATGATAAACCTAGAATGAACTGGTGTTTAGGAAATCTATTAGATCTTCTGGATATTTTAAGACTTACTTCTTCTTTCCATATATTATTTTCACAAAATTTGTAGAGTTTGTGAAATGAAAAAGACTATAGAATACATAGTATACTATATGGCCAAAAAAGAAGAGAATTAAATATTTTATATTTATTATCAGATCCTAATAACTTGAATATCACCTCCGCAAAGGAGTACTTATAGCAAAAAAATAATAATAATCCCCTTGATCTATCGATCTATAGGATGAGAAAAAAGATTCAAAGATATCTGCCTTGAAGTTCTTAAACGAGAGGGCTGGCTTTTAATTCACTCTTTACCAAAGCATACCATTCTCTTAGAGTATGCTTACTGTTTTTTTCATTTCTCATCAGTATTGAGCTATGAGAATATGATCTCATCTTTCTCGAGAGAATGATAGATTATTTTTTCTCCTATTAATTTTTCTTGTATTATCATATTCATATATTTTTTAGGATCATCCTTTAGCTCTATAGCCCAAGCACATATTTGTGAATTAGTTTCCATTCTATTACAGAATATAATGGAATTGAGTTGGTCTTTTTTAGTGATAGTCACAAAGGTATCTGAATTCTTGTTAAGTTCAACTGCCTTTTTTTCTGAGACATTCTTCTTGCTGTTATCTAGCCAGGAATATATCTGATTGATAGGCTTAGGAGAATTGGAAGGCTTACTAGTCTCAGATTTATCGATTACTAACTTAAGTAGTTTAGAAGTCTTAGTAATTTCAGAAGTCTCTGATGTAGAGGTGATTAGAACTTCAGCTTGTTCTGATACATAGTTAAAAAGCTCTTGAATTATATTGTTCTGTTTATCTACCTTCTTATCTTTACTAATACTAAATGAAGGCATGTTCTTTTCTGGCTGAGATGGGAGAAATAATTTTTGGCATATTGAATATGAGTATATCTGCAGGTTCATTGGCTAGTAATTCATCTATCTTTAGCGTTTCTGACTGAGGTATATTAAAAAATTCTTTAATATCACTTAGGCCTGATTCACAAAACTTAACTATAATTTTGAAGCAGTTAAGAATATATAGAGAGTGGACAAAAGTATTTGCATACTTTTTCACTCAATATATAACTTAAAATATTTTTATAATAACAATAAAAAGTCAATTAATTTTTTATTTAAAGCTGATTAATATCTACATTTTGTATTAAGTAACTAATACTTAGTTAGATCACTATTTATCGCAATCACTGCTTGAATTTGTTGTGACATACTATCGATTAGGTTTTGATAATATGTTTCAAAATTTCCTACCATGCCTTTTAACATATCAGTCAAGATCAGCAAGATTAGATAGAGGTTTTTTATAAGCTCAAATGCTTTTTTTAACTTGGCCAAAGATTTCAATTAGATTAAAATCAGAACTTTGAGTTGGTCAAGATAATATACGAAGATTGTCTTTCGCTTGAAAAATTATTAGTTAATTCTTTGGTTTTTACCATTTTTTTTTAGATTTTTGAAGAAGAAAAATTTATTAAAAAAAAACAAATTTGTTATTCTTTTATTTTTATAATATAAGTAAATACTTAAGTGTCATGTAAATGCAATTTGTTATTATGATCATATGACTTTATTAGTATTAATTCATGTTTATAGAGGTGTATGAATACTTTTGTCCACCCTCTGTATTATACAAATAATTTAAAAATGCAAGGTATTATAAAATTTAAATGTATTATTTTTTATTTAATAATTTTCTTATTTCTTTTTAAAAAATGTCTACCTTTCTTTTTAAAATATATTTAAAGAATAACAAATTTGAGTTTAAGATTATAATCAGAGTTTGATTAACTTTTAGAAAATAAATTACCAAATAAAAAAAAGATTTATTAATAGTAAGAGCATAATTTATTTACTTTGACATGTTTATTACAAGGTAATCACATACAAGTATATTAAAATTTTCAATTATCATATTAGATGATATTATGAAAAAAAAAAGTCTGATCTGTATATATAATTTCAGCTGAATTTAAATTCATTTATTTTATCTAGCTATAGCAAATTTCATAAGTTACAGAATATCTGATAAAATTTTTGCTGAGAAGTTGTCAGGTTCTTAGATTCTCAGGTTGTTAGTAAATTGAAAAAATAATAAATATGTAATATTAGCCAATCAATTTTTTATTATATTATTTCAGACAATAAAATTGATATTTTTTTTATATAATGCTATAATATCCAAAATAAAATTAAATGAATATATTTGTTGGTTAATAATTGAAAAAACTCTAGAAGAACTTTTAAGTAAAGTAATTGCAAGACAACTTAATATTAGTAAATCTTCAGTTTCTAGAGTTTTTCTGAAATTTTAAAAATATAAATGTATAGAAAATTTATCTTCAGTATTAAGATAGATAAGAATACTTAAAGTTAATAATATAAAATATTTAGAAAATTTTTTGAAAGAGAAAATGAATTGATATTTGTAAAAACTATAATCTGAAATAAAATTATGATTAGGATATTATATTACTATTATACTATTTAGAAAGCAATACATTACCTTGATTATACCTATAAACATATAAAGAATTTTTCTAAATATTTTTATATTGTTATAAACAATTTATTTATCAACTTTATTTATTATATTTAATTATCTAAACTAGTAATAGAATGTAATAATAATATTCTTTAATACAATTTGTATTTTTTGATAAGTCTGCATATGATAAAAATACTTTTTTGATGTTATAAATAAAATTTTAAAGGAAAATGTGTATGTAAATATACGTTTTTTGTTCGTAAGAAATAATATATTATAGAATAAACTCATTAAACATGTTTTAATATGTATTATTATTTTCATAAATATTTTTAATATATATTATTATAAATTAATTTTTTTTTATCAAAGTTTCCTAAGATGAATAAATATTCAGATTCCTATAGTGTTTTGGTATTAGATAATGTTTTTATATATAAAGAACAGCATTTACTTAATATTTATAATGCAAAAAGAATTCGAATTGAATTTTTGTCATTATATTCACCAGATTTAAATTCAATATATAAGAAATTTATAATAAAAAGAACTTTAATATATTAATTAACTGCACTTTTTATCATTTATTTTTATTTTTATTTATTTTTTAACTTATTTATTTACAATTAATTATAGGTTGAATAAGCATTTTTTTTACATTAAAAGTCATTTATATTAAAATTAAAATTAACTCGAATCTATACAAAATCTTATATAAAGTTTAGATTTTGCATATATATCTATTGATAAATATTTATTAAAAGCATATTTTTAGTATAGTAGATATATTTAAATGAATAAAATTTATAAAATTATAGATTTATATAAAATAATAATAATAATAATAATAAAATCATTTATTAAAAAGTTTATTAAAATTAATTGTAATTTTTTTTATATCAATTCACAAATTAATGTTTTTCAAAAAAACTTCTTCAATCATTTAATTAGATAAAAAAACTTTTTCATTTTTATTAATTAAAGATTTTATAACAAATCTTTTATAGGAGATCCATTAGAAATATAAAATTAATAATATCAAGAAATTTCATACTTTTTATTACCTGAATATTAAATTTATATAATAATTTTATTTAAGATAAACAGTAATTAAGTTAGACTTTATTTTTTTGATAATATAATTGATGTAATTAGAATTATAGTTAGAATAATAGAAGTAAATAAAGCTAGATCTTTATTTTATAAAAGTAATTTAAATTTTTTTTTAGTTTATTTTTTTCTTTTTTTTATATAATAATAATAAATAAATTAGAAATACAATATTAAAAATATTATCATTAATATATATATTATTATAATCTTTTAAAGACTTTTTAGAATTTGGATAATGATAATTAATTTTATTAAAAATATTAATTAAAAGTGAACAAGTTGTATCTATTTCTTTAATTTTAGCAATCTAATAATAAAAAAAATTTCAAGATTCAATTATAATATTTATAAATGTTTTTTACTATTGCTTTTATCTAAATTGTAATCATTTTATTATTTAATTTAAGGTAACATTCATCATCAATAATCAAACAACCTTAAATATAATATTTACACTTAGGAAAATTTTGATATATTTCTAGTTTCATATTTTTTAATAATGAAGAAACATCTGATATCTTTAAATTAAATCTTTTTATTAAATAAAAAATACATATTATAATAAATAAAATACATGAATAATAAAATATATTATATACAATTTTTTTTGATAGAGATTCTTTAGTATTATCTTTTATTACAGAACTTTCACAAACTATTTGTTTTCTTTTAGTTTTTTTTGCAAAATATACACATATAATTAAACATTCTTTCTTTTTTTGCATTCTGCAATAAATTCTGCAATGGTACTATTAGATTTTAAATTAACGTAATTCGTCTTAATACTAGAAGATTTCTGATAACATATAAGACTAAGTTCTATTTTTCTTATTTTGCTAACAGTTTATGAAATAATATTTTTTCTTCTATTTAAACAAATATATTAAATTATCTAAGCAATAAGAAATATCAATTACTTCATTAAGTTTTTTACGTGAATGTTTATATTTATCAAAACAAACTAATATAATATATTCTAAATTAAAATTTAATTTGTAAGTTTATAAAAATAATTAATAATATAGATTATATAATAAAAAGATTATATTTACGTAATATAAAAATATTTTTAAAAGTTGATGTTAATGATTAACTTGGTTTTGATAAAGTAGAACCAGTTAGATTAATATAGTCTCCATTTTTAAAAATAAAATTTATGATATTTGCTGATTTGTAATTCTTTACACCTTAATAATTTAAGTAATTATATTATAATATAATATTTTATTAAAAAAAATACTTAAAATAATATCTTTATGATATTTATTCATATAATCTATATAAATATTTATATTATTTGGATGCAATAAAAGTATGATATGCAGAGGGATCAATGTTTTTAGTTCAGCTAGTAATAACTGAGCTCTTATTGTGAGTTACACTACAATAGTCATAAGTTCAGATCTCAGCTGAGGCATAAAACTGGATGATTTTCATAAGAATTTTATTGTAACTGAATACGTGAACGTATAGACTAATATATATTAGAATCTGGTTGATTGATCAGTTAATTAATATTAATTATGTTTAAATTCTAGGTTTTAAAAAATATGTAGATGCAAATAAAATCTGAGATCGATAGAAATTTAGCTTTCGCTAATAGATCTGTAATAGATACTGTCTTACATCTTCAAATTCAGGAATCCTTATATAAGTAAGAAAGTAGTTAACTAGTTTTTAGTAAATTTAAAATGTATTAGAAATAATAGACTACATTGTACAGTTTTAGATCAGATCATATTATCATAGGGGTAGAGATCAGATTCAATTTCTGGGTGTATTTGATACTATAGGTACCAAGTCACTATATATGTAAAGAATCTGATTCCATAGTCTCAGAAGTTATTAAAAGAGATAGGTAAATCCTATAAATTAGATTAGTAAAAATAGTGATTGTCAATCACTGTGGCTGAAATAAGCCCTTTATTCAAATTTAATATATAAAAATCTAAAAGGAGTTTAATTGAGTGATTCTATGATCAAATCCAGGTAAAATAGACTATAAATTAAATGAAAACCCCTAGTTAGATATATATAACAAGGTTGAGACTTCAAGTGGCTGATCTTTGTCATTATAGCTTTATCTAAGCCTCATAATTAAGGTAAATACATCTCTAAAAAAAAGTATAATATGCAAAAAAATACTAATAAGACCCATTTAACAAATTCTTTATCTACTGCAATCTTTTGGTTTATAGCACCTTTTTGTATAAAAAGTTTATGGCAAAAATCTACAATATGATCATATTTAATTTTCTTTCTTTTCCACCCCAATTCTTTTATTTGGCAAGTACATTTTGATCATATTCATTTTTACAATCTAAGCAAATAAGACAAATTAGATAAGTATTGAGATAAAACTCTAAATAAAAAGTCATCATTCTAAATAATTGTATTTTATTCCTTATTACACAAAAATACTGATATATATATGTGTAATATTATTTATATTTTGAGTAGATGTCACATTATTTAGCTTACATATTACGTTAGGATATTACACTGAATAATTAATCAAAACTATATTGGCTAACTATAAAAATTTATATATTAGAGATTTTTATAGTTATATAACAATTAAAATAAGTTTGGATACCTTTCTATCATTAGTGATTGAAGGATATTTAAATAGATCAATAGCAATTCATCATCATTCATCTATGCGAGTTCTTTGTTTATATCAAGTATTAGTATTTTTTCTATTAGGTAATCTTCTCATATTTACAGAAATTTGGTTTGCTTGCGTGATTTAATTTTTCTTTTGAAAACCTTTGATATTCTGTCTATTATAATGATATATACTAATTAGTACACTTCAAAATGATTCATTGCATTCATTTTGTAAAAAAAAAATTTCAAGATTTGACCTTAAGAATCAAAAATTTTTGTAAATATTGATTTTTAAGAAGGAATATACAACCCATTTTTAAAAAATAAACTTAGTTACTTTGCAACAGTTCTTAAGAATAGTTCTCAACCAAAAAAAAAGAAAAAATTAAGCTCAATATTGGTGGGAATCTTTTAGGAGTTTGAGTTTATTTTAATAGTAAACGATTATAAAAAGGATTCGAATTTATTTTAAAGCTTGTGTAACATAAATTTTGATTATAGTAAAGCCAATTAAGTATCTGATAAGCTTTGATTAACTAGTCGGTGTGACACTCCAATATCACGTGTTTATTATTATTTCAATTTGCCGAGAACCCGAGAACCTGGCAACTTCGGCAAAAATTTTACCAGGTGTTCCGTAACTTATGTAATGAAAAATGTCCAACTTTATGAAGAGATCCTTCTGACTTGTTGTTAATAAACTAGAAAATCTATATTGGATTGTCAGTTTTAACGAAGAATAAGTAAATAAAATTTTTTTACGCATATATTGGATAAAAATTAAGGTTTACATATGACGAAAAATCCAGAAATTTCAGTTTTATAAAATAAAGTGATCGACAAGCTCCGTTTGACCGTTTGACCCCTGATTTTCCGGAAATGTCCAGTGATTGATTACGACATCATCAGGGTCACGGCTGTAGCCGTGACTCGCGGTAAATAACTAAAACATAAATCACATTTATAGTTGCCTTGCAAAACTCATTTTAACAAATGGCAAAAGTCGAAACCCTATATTTCGACGGATTTGTTAATAAGACTTTAATATAGTTTTGAATCCGTCGAAACCCGAGAGTTTTGCCGATCTCATCATTTTTTTTTAAAAAAAAAAAAAATTCTAAAACTTTTGACTCTTGTGAGGCTTAAAGATTAAAAATTACCAAATTGGTTGATCTCATTATATAATAACGGGAATGAGTTAACCCACTTAAGCTGAATCAATTTATTTATTTATATATCACAAATCGGTAAAGTCAAACCTGACCTTTTTGTTAGTAATAAATCTACAGATAACACACGTTATTAAAATGGAGATTACCGAGTACCTTTTGTTTTTTTTCTTTGTGTATTAAAACACGTCTTATTTGTCTTCTAAAAGTATTACTGTACATCCTAGTCTGTCATACCCACCAATGGTCTATGTTGTCTTTTATTTAAGTTATACTTAAATATCTTTGAGTCATTATTTGACTTGGAGTAAGATCAGAATTTATCTCGTCGATTTGTCTGTATATTGCATCGATTTGTTACAATACCACCGTCTTGGTATTCCAGCTTTGAAACAGAAGGCATATAGTTTCATGAATTACGCGATTTATATATATATATATATATATATATATACCCCAAATAATTTCAAAAAAAAAAAAATAATAATAATTTTTTTTTTCTTTTAAAAAATTTTTAAATAAGCTTGCAATATGAAACTAGAAGAACAAAAAGTTCAAGAACTCTTGGAATATCTTACAAATAACCCAATATACCCTCCCCCAATTATGAACCCCGAAATTATTTTTCGATCGTTAAACGGAAGTCCGAAAGCTAGAGTTAAACCTACAACTAGTCGATCTCTTCTACGATTCTTCGTGAGAGAGTCAGCAAGGCAATCCCAAATGATTGTAACCGAATTCATTATTAGCAAAACCGAATTCCATTTGCGTAAAAGAGCTACTATGGAAGAAATGTTGGTGTATCAAAGATTGTCTGAACAAGTAAACGAGAGAATCAAAAGAAGATGAACTTCTGCTTGATCAAAAACACTTCCCAATCTAAGCATTTTTACATTAAATTCACCCGTTTTTATGATAATTAAAAAAAAAAACAGGTTCTTAAGCCTACCTTTATGTTTCCTTAAGTTTAATCAAATTTTAAATTTTTTAGTGTTTTTATTTTTATTTTTATTTTTTTTTTGACTTAGGTGACCTTAGAAATTCGCAGTTATTATTTTTTTTTCATTTCATTATTAGCTATATTTGAAATAAAAAAGCAATCTTTCGTTCTTTTAAATACATTTTTTTTTTCCTTTTCTCACAACATATAAATAAAGGGATAATAATTTAAAATTCGAAATTACATAATGAAATTAACACAGAATTGGTTATGAAGATAAAAAAAAAAAAGTTCCCGTAATTCAATCGTTACTCAAAAGATTATTACGCCATTTTTTCATCTTGTTGTTTCAGATGCGGATACGAGATTGATTTAATCTTCATTTCCAATAATTTTTAAATTAAAGGTTTGACAGAATTGAATGAATTACTATAAATAAGTGATGCATTAAAGCAAGAATTAGTAAAACAAATTTTTTTTTTTAAATTTGCCAATCGTATTCTTTCAGATTTCCGATCGAATACCTAATTAAGAAAAAGTTATTAATTTACAGAAAAGTAAAAGTTGGGATATTATGATTTTGGTGATGCTAGCCTTTGAATGTTTGTGTAAAATCAAAAAAGCTTTTTGAATTGCGCCGATAAAATAAATATTTCTTTACGATATTTAAAACATGTGCGGCACGATATATAATAATTTTAAAATTTGTTTTCGACACAAAATGTTCGTTGTCTTGGGACAAATTCTTTTTTTATTTATGAAAATATTTTTATTAATAACTTCAGTGAATATATTCACGATCGTACGTTAACGAATTCGAAAATAAAATAATAAATCTATAATATATTTATAATATTATGAACAAAGATTTCAATTTATACCTATATATTCTGTGATATTTTGTTAATGTGGTGGATTTTTGATCATAAATGAGATTTTTAACTATGGCCAAATTTGTATTGTGAGCCCGAGCTAAAAAAAAAAAAAAAAAAATTATTTATAACAATTTGAATTGAATTTCAACTTTTGAATATTATAGAACTTACAATAGATTGTAAATTACATTATCCCTGTATGCTCTCTCTGAAAGTAGTAAGTAATATATCCAAGTTAATAAATTCTCTTTATATTTAAAGAATTTACCTTCATTATGATGGAGAGAACCAAAAGAATTATCAGATCTTAACGTTCTACTAATGTAAATCATTGGGATTGGTCAAAGTTGAATGAAATATTAGAATATTATTTTGAACGTCTAAATATGTATAAATTACCTTGAAATATTATTTATATCGAGTTCAAAGTCTTTTGAAGTATTTGTGGTGTCTAAATAATTAGGATTGGGTTTACATGTAAAAGTTGCTTTTGAATGGGGTTTTTTAAATGTAGGACCCAATTCGTTTGATCCGATAAATGCTAATCGTTTTTTCTCGGCCTGATTAAACTGTTCGGCATTTTCTCCTTTTGATGACCATCTACCCAAGAATTTACTAATCTCAAATGCATCAGGTCTTTTTGAAGGATCAGGATTCCAACATCTCTTCATTAAATTGGCAAAACATTCAGGGGTATCCTCTGTAACATCAGGGCGCTTTCCTTTAATTATTTCCAAGATAAGATCGAAATTATGGTTATCATTAGGAAAAGGTCTACAACCTGTTGTAACTTCCCACATAATCATACCCAAACTGTAAATATCGGATTTTTTCGAATATGGTTGTTTATTTGCTACTTCTGGTGCAAGGTAAGCGATCATTGCGTAGTTTTTAGTATCCAACGGAGTATTATTTACATTTTGTGATAATCCTAAATCTCCAATCTTCCAATATTCGGTCTTTTTATCTAATAATATATTTCCACTATGAAAATCTCGATGTATAAAATCAATTTTATGGATGGAATAAAGTCTAAAAAGGTAATAAAACAAATGATTAACATCACCCAAAATCAACCCAATTAATGATTAAATAATATGATGATGATTACCCAAGTGATATTTCCGACAACATGGTTAGTTTCTTCCACCATGTTATCTTTGTAAAGTTCTTTTGTAAATGGTTATGTAGATCTCCCCCATCCGCGTATTCCATTACCATCATAAAACTATTGGTATTGGGTTTTTTTGTGATTCCGTAACATCTAATGGTAAAATCAAATTGACTATAACATTGATGAAGCGATTTTAACTGAAGGTTATTAAAAAAAAAAAAAAATTAAATTAATATAATTTTTGAATAACTAACCCTCGGAAATTATAAAGCTTACCTCTTTTAAAATTTGTTCAACTTTATTTTTGTCTGACAATCCTTTTATAGCAACCGTTTCATTTTCATTATCCAACCAAGTTGCCTTATAAACGATACCGAATCCCCCTTTCGCAATAAATTGTAAATTTGTAATTCGAGAATATGGTATCCATTTCATTATCGATTGTGAAGGGATATTTTTCATCAAATCATATACATTCAATGGGTTGGAATTTTCTTCAATTTTTTTCAGATTAGAAGTGATCTTGTGAATTTCAGAGAGTCTTGTAAAAGTAAGAAAGTCATCTATAGTCTTATTCCCACTACTGATATTTGCAATTTCAATAGAAAATCTCCTTTCACATTTCTTACATTGGGATTGATTTGTGATCCCGAAAATGATGTTTGTCGTTAAACAAAATCTACACCCACTATAAATGATGAGGCAATGTGAGCACCATTTTTGACAATCTGATATCAACTTGAAGGTTTTTTTACAAATGTTACAATGATCAAATGCATCCCACCATGGTAAATAAAGGATTGGAATACGTTCTTTAATCAAAGTTGAATCTATCCATCCGGAAGAAATCTGGTAACATTTTGAACACATTCTAAGGGAATTAATTGATAAACCAATGCGATGATAAATCAAGCTTCCACATGATTTACAATCATTTTCACTCTCAAAATATTTAAAATCATTATTGGGATTACTATAGAATGAAATCCCTGGGGTTACTTGTTTAAAATATGAAATCTCTGAGCATTTTACACACCATTCTTGAATGTTATGGATGCAAAAATCCGCATCTCTACCTGTTTCGTGCTGATTACGTTGAATGTTATTTGTGCATACAAGTACATCCAAGTACTTTTTATCGTCAATCATAAAAACATGGTTGAACAAACAATTTTTAAAATATAATTGGTCAAGCATAAGCGTTCTGGAGTATTTGAATTCGCACTCACAATTGCAATACAATTCATTAAAAGGAAGAAATTTGATTGGTATTGGATAAGGATTTAAATTTGGGGTTGAATCCATGTTGTTTTATTTATTCAAGGAGGAAAAAAAAAAAAAAATGCGAGATAAAAATTTCGCAACGATATTTATAGGTTATTCTATTTTATGATCATTACAGAAATAATTCGATTTTAAGGCATTAAAATCATTAAATTCTCGATAGATATATACCTTAATGTATTGTATCCGTCAGCAAAAAAGAGAAAAAAAAGGAAATTCGCATAACAAATATAAATGATCATGATGGCAAAGAAAGAAAAAAATTTTTTTTAACTAAATTGCTTTTTTATTTTCATTTTTGTTCTATTATCACACTTTTTTTTTGGTTTGATGTCGACAATAAAGTTTTATTTGGTAAATCATCTGCATAATTCACGGTATGAACATTAAAAAATAGTTAAATTATAAGTTGGCATTTAAATTTGAATTCATATGAACTGATTTGTATGTTTCCTTTCCATTATTGTCCAAAATAAAAGTCATTATTAAACAAAGAATTCTACAGCATGACATCGACTTGCATTTTTCCATTCAACATTCAACCAGTTTAGATATTTTTTTTCTGAAATTTACGAGTTTTTTTTTTACGATTAGGCGTAAAATCTTGATGAGTTTCGGTGCGTTGCAGTGCAGTTTTCATTTCCTTTTGAGCGTCTCCCTGTTCACGTGCGACGATTTTATTAAGTGAGTTAGAAAATGCATGTCCTAAAAACGTCAATCACAAAAAGGCGGTCAAAATACGAGATGCTTTCATTATTTATAAAATCAAAGGTTCTAAGAATAAGAGCACGAGAAATTAAGTCTAATACTGGGAAATTTTGCCTTTAAGATAATTAACGATTGAAAATAAAATCTATGTTTTTTTTTTTTTATTTGTTGTATCATAACAGTAATAAGGTTCAACTATATAATAAGGTTTTGCATGCAGGTCAATCCGCCACACGGAGAATTTTTCGAGGCTCAATTTGTCAACGGATAAAAAACAATATCCTTCAGCCTATTGTCTTCTGTCATTTATTTATTAAACTTCAAAAAAAAGGCGGATAATTTTTTCATTTATTAAATCATAAATCATTAATATGTATTATATAAACCATTATTTTGATTTCGATGTCTAATTCGAAATGTGACAGTACCGGAAAATCTACAGAAATGAACTTTGATTAAGACGGTGAAAATTACAAATTTTGCTGAGCCGTTCCATTGGTAAATCTTTAAAAAAAAAATATTCTATCAGGAGTAATAATAACTATCTTTTAGATTCAATTCAAAAAAAAAAAATTTAAATCTTGTATTTTAATTAAAAGAAGATATAGATGAATGATTTTTCTTGCTTCAATTAACATTTTACGGATTTGTTTTTTATATTTTAACCCAGTGCTACTATAAATATATACTTTATAGTATTTGAATGATTAACGTGTAATCGTAAAACTTGAACATTTCTGGTTTCGGTTTTAATAAAACCGCAAAACTGAATTGCCGAGAATCTGCTTAAGAGAGTTGGTTCTATTCATTTTATTAAATGTAATATGTATGATAAAATAAATAAATTTTGTAATAAATAAAATCATGTAACACTAATTATATATGTTACGAATAATCATTGAGTTTATTTACATATCTAATACAATAT